TCATCAAGGAAGCACACGACTGAATTCAGGTGCAGAGAGCACTGTAAGAAAAAGGAGAAATGCGAGAGCTTAAAGTAATAATGAAACCATACGGGTCAGCATGCAAGAGAGCAAACTCCAGAAAAGCGCAGCCTCATCACTGCAGAGCTCCATCTGTAGGAGGTGGAAATTTCTGCAAAGTTACCTCGATTTCTCTCAGTGCTGCTCCTTATAGGAAGCTCTTTTTCAAAGCATGAGAAGAAACAAAGCGGCGTGTGAGACAAGTTAACAAGCAGGAGGTAGAAACTGGCATTAGGTGCACATCAACTACTTTCAGACTCCACATTGAGTCCTTCCTGTTTTCCTTAATTGTTTTACTTTCCATAAGCCTCTAGCAGTGCAAGAATGTATCTTCATAGCAATTAAAATTAAGTACAGCCATCAGCATCTGCAAAACAATTAAAAGTTGGCACCTGCACGGTGAAAAATAACACAGGAGAAGAATTAGGCAAGCTGGGAAAGGCAAGAAGTCAAAAGAAAAGTTGAAGTACAAAACTTCTGAAATTGTTATATTTTGTTCAAACCATTAGACTGTATTACTTCAATATGAGCGGGGCATCACCTGCAAGGGATTAGTATGTTAAAAGATACAGTGATGCATGATCTGTGCCCTTGAAATGGTGGATTTGTTATCCCAGTATGACATACACATGATGTAGTTGTACTTGTTTCAAGCATGACAGAAGAGAACTGGGAGGTCTTGAGTAATGAGAGACCCATGTAAGATCCAGCTACAGCCGCTTTACTCAGCTGTCCCAGCAGGAAACTCAGTGTGCCACAAAGATGGAAGCACGTCCCTGCAACCCAAAACCTCTCCTCAGGACTTTCTTCCTTTCCCTCTACTGCCTCACGTACTCAAACGCTACAATGGTCTGCTAACAGCACTAGCAGAAAAACAATATAAAACAGCACAAAGCTATATTTATTTCTATATTATCTATAACTTAGCACTTTCACTTGCTTAAAAGACAAACCAAAAAACCACTGGGCTTACCAAACAATAATCTAACTGAAAGTGAGGCCAAACTATTTAATCTGTTGCTGTAGGATTGACCCCTGCCACTCACATTGCCAGCTAGGGCAACATTTCAGGTACCCACTTCAATACTGTATGAAAGAAACACAATCCATGCACTTTGTCACTGATCTGTAATTTTCCTTCCCTGACCTCAAACAACATTAAAAGGAAAAGAAAATAGTCAAATTCTCTATGATATTTATGATGCCATTTTCTCAGTCTCTATTGAACTAATTAATGCTCCTAGCATGCATCAAGCCCAACACTGCCTATTTAATAATGCAGTAAAATTCTAGAAAAGAACTTGGCCCCGATCAGCGCAGGGTATCTGTTTAGTTTAAACAAGGCCATAATTTGAAGGCACATGTTTAGTCAATGAATCATAGCAAAGCTAAAAAGGGAAAGCTACCATTACAGCAAAAATTGTTGAGGGTGAACTTTATAATATTCTACTTCTTCAAATTTTCACATACATTTCCACGCTGCATTCCTCAATCTGAAGGATTCAAGCTCCTCACACAGCTCATCAAGTATTTTCCAACACAGAAGTAGAAACACATCACAAGTACCTGAGCTCTACAACCCAAGAACATCACGTTTGCCAGATGCTGTCCCAAGAAGAGCCTGCTCCTTCTGATCAACCGAAAATACTGAGCCATCCCAAAAGCACTCAGCTGTTACTTACCCTGTTTCCAAAGCAAGGAACTTCCACAGCCCAGAATTTCCAGAACCAACAGTCCTTTATAGGTAAGGCAAAGCCTCAACTTGTCTCACCACATCACAAGAACATACAGATGCTGTTATTGAGCAAATTAATTTCTTTCCAAACTTTCCAGACTCCTGTAGATTTATTTGAAAGTTGTTCTGCATTATAGTAACACTTCAGTATTTTTCTTGGCTACATAAAATTCTCTTGAACTAAATAACTCCAGATCCCGGGCTTTTCTTAACTGAAAGCTCTTTTTTACTCCAAAAGGAGTAGTTTTGAGTGGAACATGCACATTTGCAACACATTTTGTACTACTGTTTGCAACCAACCCTGCTAGAGAAGTTAATGTTTGCCACAGGCTGCCTAACAAAGCAGAAGCTGGATTGCAGTGCAAGTAGCACAGTGCAATACAGGAAAGAGTCAAAGAACTGATCTTCGTTGCAGGCAGTTCCTCCCCAGTTACCTTCTCACTGCTCCCTCTGGCCCTCCAGACCCTGATCCCAATCTGTGCCCATAAGTCACCTAAGTTGCAGCCTCTGCTTCCTCCAAGTGACTCAGACACACAATGTAACCTCGAGACAAGGATACCTTATCAGGATTACAGTGACATTAAGAGTCTATAACATGTTATTACCTCACAAACAGTGTGGCTTACAGATGGACACTTCAGCATGAGTCAGAGGAAACAAAAATCTGTCCCTGTTAAGATCAGAAGGAACAGAGGGACAACTGAATGTGTTAGTAGATGTGAGTAGAAAGAAATTCAGACTACTTCATCATCTTTTGTAGTCACCTCACTGCCATCCTTCATAGTGCCACAGCTTCCAACAGCAGGAGCAAAAACCTCACAGGTCTAATGCTGCAATCACAGCAATAACAAGTGACCTCAAGAAACTTTAGACTGAACTTTTGTGTGAATTGAGGAAAAAAAAAGTACTGACTCACCAGCAGTGTGTCAAGAACAGTTTTTATGATGCTTCTGTTGTTAAACACTGCTGCTCTTCAAAGTAGAACAAGTTTCGCCAGGATCTGCATTAAGCTTAACTTAGTAAGACACAACAATAAAGGCCATCCAAAGCAACTCTACCAGCCACACATAAACCCACTGATGCACCAAGAAACTACCTGAAAAACATGCATCCCATTTAACCACATTAGAGAATGTTGTTTCAATAAAATCTGACTGCAATGGACAAAATCATAATTCAAAAATCAGAGGGAAAAGCAGGATGAGAATGGCTCATTTCTTAAAAATGTGAATTAATGAACCCCTGTGGTCTTCAAATTTCAAACTTCAGAAGTTCTGAAGCATGGACTCCTTGTTGAATCATTTTCTCACTCTGTTCCACAACCGCTATGATAGCTGATCCTGTTGCACCTTGTAGGAATTTCTCCATTCTAAAGGAAAATCTTGTGGCCACACGGCCTCCCCCCACGGCCATCCAGCAATGGAAAGACTGCATTCAGAAGCAATACTGAGCTACGTGCGTGTGAGTCAAAGAGTTATTCAGGGGATTACTCAAAAATTCTGATGTTTGAATCATCATTTGTCAGAAAACAGTCTGTACAAAGCATTGCTTACTAGGTGAACCTCACTTAAATTTTTCATCAGCTGTGTTTACTCTTCCTGAATTATTCAGTTCTACAAACGTTTTAGGTTGCACAGAAAAACACAGGCTTATGACTCTACCAACCTGACTGGGCCACTGCAGGCTGGTGCCCCATCACTGCACAATTTATAGCATTCAGTTGCTAATAAAAAAGCTTTTTGAGGCAAACATTTGAACACAGTAACAAAAAGAAGAAAAAAAAACCACCTACAGTGGTTCAATGGTTGTACAAAAATTGTTCCATCACAAGTTCTCAAGTTTAGTGTATGTTTAGCTTCTGCTAAAGGAAATGGCCCAGAAAAGCAGAGATGATGTAAAACTTCAAAGGTGGAGAAGGTAAAGAATCTCATTGCTCTTGATGTTTAAAGATGAAAACACCCAATCCTAACGCTCCAGAAAAGCACTGCAGTGAATACTGAAGCTATGATTAACGTATCTACGTCTTAAAAGTTCTCCATGTATTTAATTTAAGAAAAACAACATCTGTTTCTGTCAGGATTCTGATTAAAGACACCGGAGATATCATAAAGTTTGACAGGTACAGCACCAGTGAGCAGAACTGTGTGGGGTTACCTCACACTGTGACTGCAGGGCAAACACTTCCGTCATTTGTGTTGTGGCTGACAGGTCTGAAATCAGAGATCTTCTCATTATGCATCACAAGGTCCTATTAGCAAAGAGCTCGGCAGACAAACCGATACCCATCCACCTCTAGGAGCAACGTGGGAGGATCCCGATGACATCCCCGAAAGGTGAATTCCATCCACCAGCAGCCTGAGATCATCCCCAGCTGCATTTCCAGAAGGCAAAAACCGAGGAATCCCCAACTCCTTTGAGCACAAAGCGCCTCTCACCTTCCACAAAGCAAACGCTAATAAACCGTGCAAAAATACTTACAGGGTAATAGAGAACAGCTTTAATAACGGCACCGGGAAATCACCCCACGGCAGCACTTTGCTGTCACGGTCAGGACGGCGCTCTGCTGCGTTGGGCTCCGCATCGTGCACTCAAGGGACGCCCGCAGCAGCTCCGCTTCCACAGCCAGAGGCAGCAGGAAGAGCCGGCGCTGCCACAGAGGTGCGATAAAGCACGGCAGCAACAGCGACGATGTCAAGCGTAGCCCGAAAGTAACGAGAAAGCACTCAGAGGGCGGAGGTGTTTATACGGTACGCTACAGGCTGCTCACACAGCCGGAGGAACGGGGGGGCCGAACCTGAGGAGACGGCGGCACCGGGCAGCTGCGCGGGAACAGCGCACAGCGATCCCCACCCCACAGAGCCCCGCCGCCCCGGCCCCACGCACCGGCAGGCAGCCCCGCTCCCGCCTTCAGCGCGAGATGAGGTCGCTCTGAAGCACCGCCGTTACAAAGCTCAGCCACTCACGGAGGAAAGGAAAAGACAAAAGAGCACCGCGCTCCATTTTACCTCCGGCGCCGTGTGAAGCGCTGCACCCGGCGCCGCCGCCCGCCGCAGGCCCCGCAGAGCCGCCGCTCGCCACTTCCGGGTGGAGGGAGGCAGGGCGGCACCCATTCAGCGCCGCGCGCGCACTGCGCACGCTCCCCACCCCCTCCTCACCCCACCGCCCCCTGGCGGTGGCGCGGTGCGAGGCGCTGCGGGCCATGTCGGGGGGCGGCTCTCCCGCCCTCGCCCACGGCTCCTGGGAGCGGGTGTTCGTGGGGAGCCAGGTGCTTTCTAAGGCGGGGCCCTGCGGCGAGAAACGGGAGTGTGCGGATTCCTTAAAACTCCAAAACCCGGCTGGGAGGGCCGCCTCACGACACTGCTGGCGCTCACTGCCTTCCCCGAGCGGCTTTCTGCAACGCTGGGGCTGCGCAGGAGATCCTTCTCGCGGGCTTATGCTTCCCCAGCGGGAGCTTCGGCTGAGCAAAAGGGCAGCGTCTGGAATCACTCACAGCCTCCGTAGGGTCCTCCGTGCTTGCGTCAGGCTAATGCTGAGGTCAGCGTAGCGCTCCTCTATAAGCGCAGCCCGGGTGGGGAGCATCCCGTTCCGAAGCCCCGAGGGCGCGTAGCCGAGACAGGCCGTGGGGATTCGCTTTGATCCTCCGCGCCGCCAGGGGGCGCTCAGCGCCTTGATCCCCTCAAAGTGGGGGCGGCGCTGCGCATGCGCGCGGTTCGAACGTGTTGGCGGCCGCGGCGTTCCTCAGCGCGGGGCGATCGTCGGTGCCACTCTTCTCTTCTGCCGTTCGCTGCCGCTGTTACCCCTGCTCTATGTTTGAAGAATGTCCGCGTTGACGGACGGAGGAGCGTCCCAGAACGTGCGGAAAGGTAGCGGCGGGGTGAGGTGAGCGGACCCCGCCCGCCCGGCTGAGGCGCGGGCCCGGCTGAGCGCTCTGTGCTCTTTCAGGGAGAAGAATCGTGAAGTCCCGCTACCTGCAGTACGATAAGAAAGAGTCCAGTAAGGTAATCGGCACTCTGGGCTCGCGGAGTTGTGAACGAAGCGTTGTGCGGTGTGACATCGGCGCGGGGCGGGCATCCGGGAGAGCGGCGGGGATGGTCGGTATTGGAGGGGGGGACAGGGCGGGCTGTGGATGCTGCCCACGTTCACTCCTGTCTGCTTTCTGGTCGTCAGAATGCTTCAACAAAATCCTTTTCGTCATCGACTTCCAGTGCATCTTCCACAGCTAAAGCAAGACCGGCGCTCACCCAGAAGTCTGAAGGTTCTGGTAAGTCTTATCAGAAGGATTTTGAATTCTGTCATTTTCTCAATGTTTTTTCCAGCATCTGCTGCTCTTAACAACTTTAAAACATGTGGTAAGGTGATGTTTATAATACTTACATCGCTGCTATCTCTAAGGGAATTAATGTGTAGGATTATGCTGTGGGATTAAGAGATGCAAACTCTTGTCTGGATGTTATCGTAAAACACTAATTTGGAAACGTTTGGGATAAAATTCTGAACTACTTTATCTAAGTTGCGAGTACACAACTGGTGCATATCAAGTGAATGGGAAAAGTTTGCCCCATACTATTAAAAGCTGTAGTAATTGGACAGATAAATGTGATGGGAAAGATGCTACCACAAAGGTGTGATGACAGGAGGGCCAGCATGATAGAAAGGTGCCATAAAGGAAGAGAAGAAGAATATTTGCCATAGAAGATTCTAGATTGACAAGTACCTCACCAAGGAGGAACCTCCAGAAAGAAATTCTTCCCTAGGGCCAGTCAGCCCTTAAATGAGCTCTAAGAGAGGTGCAGCCAGGCTCCACCCCCTCCTGTCCTACAGCTGATTTGCCTTCACCTGTGCCCCCAGTGCTGACCGGGTCCTTTCCTTGCATATAGAGATGTGAGCTTGTACAATATTTGCTTTAATTTTAGTTTGACAACAGCTTCTTTCTGCAGGTGTTGCCTCTGGCTTGTTAAATCAGAGTAGTTTTGAGAAAGGTGACCTGCAGTCCACTTTATTAGATGGAGATAAAATTACTCGACCAGACCTTGATCTTTCAGCTATTAATGGTAAACTTCCATTCGTATTTAATTTCTTATTGTTTTGAATATATATCTATTAACTTGATTATAGATTTTTACTGTATTTGCCAAAAGATGGTATTAAATAAGATAAATGTTTATTTTTTGAGTTTATTTAAAGACTTTAGAAACTTTAAAGAATTCAGAGTTGGAGTTAACCTCTTACTTCTTCGTATCTTTTGGGTGTGCTCTTTTTTCTTTTAGAGATTAAGATCAAATATTAAAGGCCAAAGTAACATCAGGCCTTTGTAACAGATAAGGAGCGTTAGATAAGGAGCTCTTCTGAAAATTATGCCACATCTGTTAGGTAACTGTTACCTAAAGTTAAATACTTGTCTTATCCTCTTTATCTCGTGAGCCCGATAAAAAGCTGAAAACATGGCGCAGTAAGTAGATATACCATCTTTAAATTCTTAGTGCCTTTGAAGGATCTGATGTCTGTTGACCTACCCCTGCATATTGCTAATAACTTTTCTCTAATGACACAGATAAAACTGTCCTACAGAAGTCTACAAGTTCAAAGGCTTCCTGCAAAACAGATAAAGGGCCACATGTAAAAAAACAGAAATCGGTGAGTCTCGCTGCTTCCGTTTGTTAAGCATCTTTATTTTGGGATATGTGCAATGGAAAGTTTCTGTTTCTCTAATATTGGTAACAACCATTCAGGTTTCTGGGCTGCTCCAAAGCCAAATGAGAGCTCTGTTGTACTGCTTGCAATGTTTGTTTTGTTCATTGGGTGTAAGTCTCAAAGTTTTACCACAGCTTGTTGTAGTAAAAAATTTGCTCCATTTGTAGCATCTCTTCAGGCTAATTCTTTTTATGCTTCATTCTAATTGTATCACGTGATCTTTAAATACTTCCAAACCATTTTTTATCAGAAAATTACTTCTGCCTAACCTCCCTCACTGCTAAGTCCTCAGGTTCTATTCTGGTGTTTTGGATATCTGCTGAGAGCAGTATAAGGGTTGGATGAACAAAGAATAGGCATTTAGTTAATATCCATCTGGGTGACTGTTGCTGATGATCATGCTGATTCTGGCCACAGACTGGACTTTCAGTAATTTATTTACATCCTGAAAATATGACTGTTTAAATTCCACAACTGATCCAGAATTTTCCCTTTTTTTTTTCCTTTTTTTCTGCAAGAAAAACAATCCTGCTGTTGTGGGGGCAGAGCTGAGCTCTCAGGAGCTGATTTTAACTTACCTAAGAGTGCAGGTGAGTCAGTCAAGCATGTGGTGTTTCAGGTTAAAAAGAAATTAAACAACTTTGATATCAAGTTGTATGCATGCTGATGAAAGTCATGTTGTTATGTTTTTATGTGTTCTAAACTACGTGCTCTAAGCCTACGTGATGGGTGTGCCTTGAAAACTGAGTGAATTCTATGCCAGTTTATTAAGCTGGTGCTGGTTCTTCATGAAGCAGGGACAACTGAAGTTCCAGGGAAGCAGGAGTGAATGTGTGGAATTCAAGGCTGTAGCAGTGATTTTGGTTTTTTTCACTCAGTAGTACATAAGTGTAGTTTTCCTTTACAAAAAATATATTAATTAGGAGTTAGTAGAGAAAAGGGAGAGAAGGCTTTAACTTAAGTGTGCTAGACTTGCATTTGTTGCTTCAGCTTGAGTTACCTCAGCTATGGATGTCTCTTGGATGTAACAGCAGAGGAAGGACGTGGCTGAGCTCGAGGAGAAAGCAGAAGAAAACTTGTTAATGTTGTGTGAAGAAAAAGAGAGACAACAGGAGAAGCTCTATGAGTTGAAGCGTGAAATTCTGCTCAGAGAGAGAGAGGAAAAGCTTGATGAGGAGCTTGTAAAACAGGTAGGCTTTACTGCAGTTCATTCTACGTTTGAACAATCTGTTACATTGTTAACAACGTACTGACAGCTACTAGACTGTAATAATCTAATAATCCTTTCTCAAAGATGATTTCTGTGCTTTTGTGGCCTGCTGAGGCACAGTTTTATGCATCTGTAAACATCTACTTCCTGCTGTAGCCTGTTGTGCTCTCTAGTAATCTAAACAAATGCCTTTGTCACTTTTTTGACCCTCCCTGATGGAGGCAGGAAGGAGAAGTTGTTGCTGTTAGGCGAGGGGCAGCAGCACGAGCTGCCAGAGCAGTTTACATCTCCTGTGCATGGACTGTAAACATCTTAAAACCACGCTATTTTGTAACTGCAGGGTGTTATGGCTGGAGCAGAGATGCTAACCCTTAAATGCGTGGAGGACATCTCCTGTCGCTTTATACTTTTGTATGTTAGACAGTAATAGTTCTGATCTGGTTGTAAGAAGACAAACTTGTAATGATTTTGATAGCAGATCATCTTTAGAAGGTAAAGCCTCCATATTCTCTCAGGTTTTCTTAGTTTTGTTGCATCAAATTAGAAGGGTAGGGTGTTTTGAACAACTGATTGGCAAAACTGAACATATGCTTGCTTTTATATGTGTACAAAACGGCTGCTTTGTGAAGAAGTGTTGATTCATCATGTCCTTTTCAGATGGAAGTACTTTCTCCTCTTGTTCCTCTTCTTGAACAATTTAAAGAGCAGTATAAGAGCTTTGCAGTTGCTCTGGATGCCACTAGACATAAATTACCCATTAAAAACATTCACATAGAGGGAGATATGCCAACGTACCTAGGTATGAACATTATATTTCAAATATACTTTCAGCAATAGGTGTTTCTATATGCCAGACTTGTTATCTTGTGTTTCCTAGACCTGCTTGTGGTCACTGGAGCAGTTTTTAGTGCCATTCATAGAGTTTGTCTGGACACTGGGCTGCAACATTTGTCATTTGTTTTGATATGAATAATTACTGTCTCCATCTAACCATTAAACTGCTGTCACACTTTTTTTTTTTAACATATCTTTGGGAGAAAATGAACTTTCTAGGATTAGGACAGTCTATATAAGCCTTTATATTTTATTTTTTTACTGTATTCATTCCGTTCTTCCTTGCTGGCTCTTCCTAATGTGTAAGCAAGTTGAAGAGTAGTAGAAATACGGTGATGTCTTTTTGTTCCTGTGTGAAGGGCAGGGTCCCATGGACAGACTCACTCGTGCTTCCTGTAGAACTTCATCCCTGCTTACACTTCAAAACAAATGGGAAGATTTTATTGAAAATCATAACATTCTTGTAAGAGCTTTTAAAATATGTAAGGCACATATATTTTGCTTTGTGAATGCTAAAGGAAAGGGCAGGATAAATTTCAAGTTGGTGGTCCTTTCCAACATGCGATTAGTTATGGAATTTTGGGGGTTTAAAGCTTGACTTTTTTCTCTTGTATTTGAATCTGGTAAAATTCTGTGAGGTGCTTGAGCTTGATCAGCAAGTTGAAGTAGCAGAAATAGAGTTGTTGCTGTTAGTCTGTAGCTAAAAGTGATTTGGCTTTTCTGATTTTCTAATGGCGTAACAAGCAATAGTTTGTCGTTCACTTGTTCCTCCTTGCTGTAGCTATTACATAATCTTGTATTATTAACTGCATGCATTTAAAAAAAAAAAATTAACGTCTCTTATGTTGTAGACAAACTGCAAAAGCAGTTGACTGTCACCCAGGAACTTCTGGCAGAAGTTATGCCAGACTGCTCAGAAGAAAGTGCAAAAGCATTCAGTGAACTGCAAGGTACTGAGGAGGTGTTTCAAAAGCTGGAGAAAGAACTTCGAAGGTATTTACAGCAGTGTGAAAACTCTCTGTGTTCAGAGAAAAACGTGTAGATCTCACCTTTGTATCCAGAATGGGTCCTGGAGCATTAATGGAGGGAATAGTCCTGCTCAGTTGCAGGCATCTTTGTTTCTGTCCCTGCCCTGCCTGTAAAGGAGAGTTGTTTTGTTCGGTCTGTGTAATCTTAGTTGGACTGCAGGACTGCTGCAGCGTGCTGCTTTCTGACACTGGGAGGGAAGCTGTGAATCTCCATGTGGATACTTTTGTGGTTTGGTCGAAGTTTTCCTCCACAGTGACTGACTTCACCTGCTTCATTTGTTCCAGGAGCTTCACTCAAGTGCAGAACCTGTCGTATGAAGCTAGCAAAGAAGTTTCACTGCATAATCAAAGAATATGTGAGGACAATCATGGTGTAGATGTTGTGAAACACTGGTACTTCAACTGAGTGTCTGCCATCTGTGTGTTTTATTTTGTTTGTTACTGATGGGGGGGGTCCTAAATCAATGTCAGACTTGTATGTTTTTGTTTACTGTCTTTGATTTGTCCTGTATCTCGCTTTACTTATGGACAGAACACATCCAGCTTTCCAGTTTCAATATGAAAGCAGCTACATGTGTGACTGATCTAAGAGTGGAATTTTCTTCTGCTTACCCATAAGGAGACTTATTTTTTTAAACAGCCATTTCTGTGACACTTTTATCATCACTTGCTGCCTTGGTAATACTGCAAGTTAAATCAAATGTTATTCTTAGCAAACATGAACAATGTATCCTTAAACTCATTTTACTTTCTTGCACCTGGCTTTGAGTGCACTGCTTTGCAACTCTTCCCAGCCCAGTGTTCCTTACAGGGCCACGTCTCCAGAGAGAGATGGGGAGCTGTGTTTGTTGTACTGTGTGTTTGTTTTTTTTAATCTGGATAGGAGAACCAGGAGGAATGCACAGCATGATCATTGATCACTTGGTGAACAGCTTCCAGAGGAACTCTTAATTGCCCCTTGTGTCTGGGTTTTTCAATGTGGGTAGCAAAGAATGAGGCTGGTGAGCAGGAGTAGAGTTTTGGTATATTTTTGCCTAATTGTCTTGTAAATAAATTACTGAAACATAAATGCTTTTGTACTGATGCTTTCTCTTGAAGTGCTTTAGATCTTTATTTTAAAATAAAGATTACTTTTTCACTGCTGCATTAGGAGCCATTATATTTGAAAATCTTCACTGATCTCCTAAAGAAGCTTTTGTTTCCACCTGGCTTACATTGGGCAAATATTACACAATGTGTGCAGGGGAGGATTTCTAGGCATGAGGTCCTAAGGGCAACTCGTGTCCTCCTGGCACCCAAAGCTCAGATGCCAGAAGATTCTGATCATGGAAAGAAACTTCTAACCTTAATAGTGCATAAGTGCTGGAATGAGAAAGATAATAATGATCTGTTAGAACATGGATGCTAGCTGTGGAAATGGCTTTTTCAACACGCAAATAAATGATTTAGGTTTTCTTCCTGCTGTTAGCAGAGGTCTAGAGAGATTCTGTCTCCGATGATTAAAAATAAGGTGAAATTGAGCTGTAGGACGGGGTCAGTAGAGGTGTGTATTGGATAAGTCCACGTGTTTCATAGCAGCTGGTCCACAACGTGGTGGGAGGACAATTATTTTCAGATGTTATCTTTTATTTCTATTTATTTTAGCTATGTTAGATCAGCTACACCTGACGGCTTACCTGTGTGTGAGCTGCCTTTTGTGCCCCACGTCAAAGGCAGCTGCCTGCAGCAGCGTCGTTTCCCTGCATAGGAAGGCAAACTGCGCCTGCAGCGTTCACCACTGGGTGGGGAGCTTTGCTGAACGGCCGGCTCGGTGAGTTGTAGCTCGGCAGCCATTCTAATGGGTGCAGAGCTCCGTAGAAAGGGCCATAAGTGATAACACTGCTGGTCAAACTGCGGTTTTCCCTGTGAATAAACGCTGGGCTGTGTCCTCGTGCCTTTAACCTGTTTGTTGTAACTGCCGTTGCAGGACTCAGAAATCTGTTACGAGGGATTCCCTAAATTCAGTGGGGGCATGGATGGCATAATAAAGTAAATCGGGTCTGAATTTTGTTTCTGCACCATCACAAGGCAGAATGGCTGTCCTAGGATTTATTGATGATAGACTTCGTTGCTTATCTTAAAAATAAAAAAAAGTATAGGACATACTTTAAATTTGAACCTTTCATCTTCAGTTAAGTGACTTCCTACCACTCTTAAGTGGTAGATTTCAAGGACAGCTTCCATCTGAAGAACACTGTGTGCATGCTGTGACTGCAGGGTTAGGGACACCTTCACTCAGCTGTTTATCCTCTGGGTGAAAGAATCCTTATGCAGAGCTTCAGTTGCCTTCTGGATTTTCTCCCTCTCATCGCTTTCTAAGCTATGTAATACATCTGTACTGACGCTCAGTGAGATGGAATGCTGCTGTGTTCACCCTGAACGACGGTGAGGGAGGAAAGGTTCTGGCTGCGATGGCAATTAAGCTCTAAATCGCAGGGAAGTTCTTCCTTGCTGCTGCAGGTGGCAGTCATTACCCGCACAAGAAGCCCAAGCACTCAGAGCTGAAGGCCGACAGCCCGCGCAGAGCGGCGAGGAGCACGAGGACGCGCACCGTTGCTTCGGAGGAATCGCAGGCGTTGGTGTAACGGCCATTCATTCCTGAACGGAACACTTGTGTGAAGCTCTGTACCGGTAGTGGACGAATGTCAGATGAAGCAGCACACTTCTTCAGGAAAAGGTTGTAATTTTGGACTCTCTTCCCTACTGCTTGAATATTGGTTCTGATTGATTCTGTTTTGACTCTGAAGAAACAAGAAGTCTTTCAGGTTCCCCCAACACAGAACAGCTACAGGCACTCCGTACTGTCATACTTACCATTGTAAATCCAAACCAAAGTGCAGGAGCTGAGCAGATGTGGCACTGCTGACTTTGTATTTCCCACCAATGTTCTGACAGCATCGCGTGCTCTGAGTCTGCCTGAAGTCCTGGGCTCTTTTCCTTCAGGTTATTGAGCCCGTCTTACTTTTGCACCTGGAAATAGTGACGTCCACATCTGCTGTGTTTATAATATTGTTTCAATGCAGATTTACTTCTGTTCTATTTAAATTTTTGGAGTTCTTAATCCCTGTGTATTCATCTTTTGGACCAGAAGCTAATATTTCCAATTGTTAACATCAGGTTGTCCCAAGGCTTTGTGTCTGTGTGTGTATATGTAATGTTTGGGCCATTTTTTTCTTCTAAAAACAAAATAATTGCATAACAAGCCAAGTCGGTCTGAGGGCTTGTGGGAGACAGAGTGTGAGCGCATGGTGGAGATGTAAGCATTTACCCTCTGCAAAATTGTGTTCCAGTGAGCACAAGGTGATTGGTGAAGATCATCCTAAGCCAGCTTTGTGCTGCACAGACTTCCTGGCCTGGGTTGTGAGTTTCTTGGAGAGTCCTGCCCTGGTTGTTTTAACCTCCAGCTCAGGAAGGCTCTGATACAGCGTTTTTTGTTGTTGTTCCTGTGCTGTGATAAGGTCACCAAGGGTCAACATAAGGAATCACCCCTTTTTGCCATTCTGCTGCAGTGCAGATGCAGCTCAGGAGACAACTGAGGCCTGTTTGTCTCCCCAGCCCTACAATCCTTTGTTTGTGCCAGCTGCAAATGGAGCCGATTCCTTGCTCATCATCAGCAAATAAATATCTCATGACCCCAGCAGATGTTTCTGCATTTTAGGCTGATGAGAACTTGCATGGTTACTGCAAACTGCCCTGCCTTAGAGTAAATAGCACTTTGTTGGAGATCCGGAAGCTCATCCTGAACGTGACAACCAGATTTCTGGCCAGACTGCGATTGCCAGGATGTGAAAAGTGTTCTGCAGAGGCAGAAGATCTAACAGCTTTGAACTGCACCATTGAGCCACACCAATTACACCAATTAAGAGCATTTCCAGTGATTGTGAGAGCGCTCCTGCTCAATCCACAGAAATAATTTTAGATTGGTCCTTCCACTGTATTTGTGTGCGGCCTCTCAAGCAGGTACAGGGATGGAGGACTTGCTCTGCAGAACAGTTTCAAATCAGTTTCTCTTAAAATGTTCCTGTGAAAGCATTTCTGCATATATCTGCAGTTTCTGTAAGAATACCTTGCCCTCTGTAGCAGAAATGCTGAGCCTGAAGCACCTGGTGGGAGGGCAGGGCCAGCCCAGGGGAGCTCAGGTGTTTGCAGTGCAGTGCAATGCAGCTGAGTGACTGGAGGGGCTGCAGCCAGGAACCCCCCCTTCCCAGCCCTCATTTAAGGGTTGGCACTGGAAGTAAGGGGAGCTTCTAGAGATTCTCTGCTTTGTTTCCATGTTCACACTACTGCATTTGGGCTTGTCCTCATTTACTGCAGTCTTCTATGCTTGGCTACCAAAGGGGCTGGCAGAGATGCAGAAGGAAAAGGGAGAACAAAAAATGGCTTTTAAAGAGAAGGTGCTGTGGTTTTTTTATAATGCTGTAAAAGTTAAGTAGAACCTTTCTCTTGTCACTGAATTTTTAAGGACTGACACAAATGTGTTTTTCCCTTGGGAGGAAGGGACCAGTGGTTCGGGTTTCCTTACACCAGAGGTCTCTCACTTGTTTGAGGAATACCTCTCTCACGTTACATGTAGTTATTTATCAGGCTAGAACCGACTTAAAGTGTGTTCACACCTTCTGTACAGTGCAGCCTCTCTGACATACCACACAGCCACACGAGCCCCTGCACATCCTCAGCCTGGACAAGTGCCTGAGATTCCTCAAATGTCCTGAGCAGCAGAGCTCCTTTTTTTTGTAAGCCAAACAAAAATCTGAGCTATGCGCCGTGTGAGCCGTGGTGAATATGGCCCATAGATGCGACTGATGAATCGGTTTTATACATAAGAAATGCTTACAGAACTTCCTTTAAGCTTCTAACTGTTCCCAGATGTGGGCTGAGGCGGCTGCTGGAATTCCATCACCTGTTGCATCACACTGAATAGGACTCATTTTGGCAGGCACAGAAAATTCCATTTCAGTAACTAAATAGTTTGAAATGATGCTAAAGCCTTTTTTTTTTCTTCTTTTTTTTTTCCCAGACCAAACTTATTCTACCTTCACTTACAGGATAGCACGTACTTCCATAATTAAAAGACTGTGCAATCTGCAGAGGCGGCAGTGGCCTTATTTCCTACAGTCAGCAAATATTGAACTGAAAACCTTCAGTTCTGAAGGAGTTTCAGTGGCACTTTGTGGTGAGTTTTTCTGTACAGAGCTCAGATCTCAGGTGTGAGTCTGCAGAGAGCAACCTGTGCGTCTGTGCAGGTGGGTGGGTGATTAATGGTGGTGATCAGCCTGTTTTTGAAAGCAGGATGCTGTTACGCTCAGAACTTACCTGATCTCAGCAGAGCTATTAATGAAATCATTGTTTGGATCGGTGAGCTGTTGTACATCAGTGATGGACTGCTTTACCACAAAAAAACAGCAGAGGTGCTTTGTTTTCACTTTGCCTCCTTACTGCCTTTAATTACAGGCCCCCAGCCTGCTGTTAGATCCTACCCTTAGGAGAGAGGCTCACATCAGTGCTGCTGCTTTGCAAATAGGAGAGCTGAGGCATGCAGGGCTCTGAAGGTGTATATGAGAAGATGAGGATGCTGAAAAAGAGTTTGAAATGGTCACATTTAATCTTTGCTTCTTTCAGTCCTGTTTGTCATAATAAAAACATTCTCATTTCAATGTACTTTCTAGTAAGTTGTGTCTCATAAAGCCCAACTGGTTTGCTTGGGAAATATCTCTTGATGAATCTGAAGGAGAGTGAAGAAGTAAGGAAAGAACCACTTAATTCAGTACCAGTGCAAGGCTTGTGAAGAGAGTGAACGTCTTATTTACTATTTACTAATTAACCCATCTTAACAGAATGTGTTCTTGCAGAACTGCCTCACTTATCCATGACCATCACAGTGAACATACTCTCCTACTACAGGAGGAACAGCGCCATAGGAAGTACAGTAACACAGCCTGGAGGAAGGGGAGAGCAGAGGAGAGGCTTCCTGTCCTTAGAGGGAAGATGTGCTGGGAGGGCCTCGTTTTGACTTCATGTTTTCTTGGACGT